AATAGATGCAGATACGCAACCAAGACAGATGAAATAGGTACATCTGCAAAAGATGGCTGAGAAGTTTATAATTTGATAATATGAGATGATTTTGGCATTTTTTCACATATTTTACTTAATCTTTATTTCTAATTATTTTGATTTAACAGAAAATTTGTGAAATGTAGAAATTTGTATATGATCTTTTGCTATGACAACCAAAAAAGAAACTACATTTGTGCCGAACATTTTGTTCGTTTTTGCTTCAAATCAATGCTTAAGAGGCTAATTGAGCTAAAAAATGTATGTTCTGAAATCTCAATATGACGAATTTCATGAAAGCGTTTTTTTGCTGCAGATTTTTTCATATATAGGGTAGGGCACAAAGGTCCTATCATTTTGTGAAATGGTTAACCCTTTCCACTCGCGAATTGTGAGATCAATATGTATTTTGCCGCCGAGCGGCTGCATCCGAAATGAAAGGGTCACAACAAATAACACATATGTAACAAACAACTATCTGACCATGTTCAGTAAATCTTACAGCCAATTCATCATTGTAGAAATGTGTTTTTCTGTTTTCTCAAAAAACTGTCATCTGTTTTTTTTTACCACATAGACTGGGTAAAATGGGACGGCCAGGGGGCAAACAGGTCTAATGACTTATTCTTAATTTTAAAGGGATTTTACGAAATAATAGCAACATTATTCAACCATATAAACTTGATTTTAGATTTGGTCAGAAATATTCATCAGCAGAGTTTGAATAACTATGCATTCAATTTATCACTTTTTAACACTTTTTTAACTTAATTATCTTTTTTATTTGCTATTTTTATTGTTTACATCTTTGTCAGGGTAAGTCAGTTGGTCCTTTTTACCTCACCCACGTGTAAGCTTTTTATGGTTACATAAAAAAAGGGTTGAATCTGTAAAAAGAAACGCTCTGTAGATGAAAACTCAAACGGTTATTTTATATTATGGTGATGAATTTATTATTACAATTTCTATAATACTGATAAATATTTTATTGGCGCTGTATTCTCAGGGCAGGGAACTTTCTTTTGATGTCATATTTTCAAATGAAAACCGATGTTACTGCTGCTTGACATCATGCTGTATGAGGTGGATTTTAAGACTAAAACATTCTGGCTGGACGTCAAAGCTTTAATTGCTAGTTCACGGCAAAGCCAAAAATATATAATAAAAAGAGCATTTTTTATTGCTCTGATTTCAAGATATTTTCTTGATATTTTTCATCATATATAAATTACCTAAAGAAATTGTATTGCTCTGATCAGTATATATGTGTATTTTATTTATTATGTCAGTGTATATAATACTAAAATAATACAAAATGTTTGCTTAACATCGCTATATAATTTTTCGAAAAGGTCATATATTTTCGCTCGTGATCAAGAAAGAGCACGAGAAACGTTTCAATCTTATTGATAACATTTTATTGATTTGGAAGTACTACTGTTTGAGAAAATTTGTTAATCTTAGTTGATTCCTTTATTATACAAAATCTAACATTGTAATTTAATGGGATAAGTAAATTTTCAGCTTTCAACTTTGTATTAAAAAACGTACCTCTAAATTATTGAATGGCATTTTCGAAGGAGGCGGATTTTCTGTTCGAACGCATATGGTTCAAACGTCAATGGACTAATATTTAAGTTTCATCAAAATATCATTATTATGTTATTATTATGTTATTTTCTTTTAAATGTTAATTAGAAAGAAGTCAGTTTATGGTTTTCCTTGGCTTAGTGCCAGTAGCTTTGGTCTTGCGACAACAATGCTACAGGTTGTATTTCTTTCTAGGATAGTTTGCTACCAAACAATAGTGATATCAATACTCATTTAAAAATACAGAACTAAATAAATATTAAGTAATACATGCATTGCTTGAATGTATTTAGGTCACAAAAATCTTATCATAAAAAGAATGAATAACTACTGGATTGCTCTCTAATAACACTGGTTTAAGAAATTACTTTAACACTTAATAGAACACCTAAAGTAGATCCGATTCATTTTTATAAAAATATAAAATAGCAAAAAAAATTTTTCATTTATTGTTTGGTGATTTTTTGCATAATAAAGAAGCAAATAGCATTTGACTACTGAAACAAATTCAAAAGACGCTGTAGGTGGTTTCTAATTAACTCATTGCACACGGCGATATTGAGTTTAATTTATATGCATGGGACATGATTTGAATAAAATTTTACTTGTGCCGCGTAATTGTTTGTTTCCTTTTTAACTAGTGAAGTCGACTTAATTATATAAAATACTTTCTATTGGTATATTGTCACTGACTAAAAATGTGTTATGCAGTTTGTATTACTACCTTGAATTAAACTTACTTAACAAATAAAATATATTCAGATTTTTACTTTGCTTCACTAAGTTATGAAGATTTCATATTAGTTCAATCACGAATTTTAAGGAGATTTAACGTTCAATAAATTAATTCGAATTCAAATTTTATTATAGAGTATGGTGGGGCACAAAGGTTCAATTTGACTTTGAGCAATTATAATGTGAAAATCAAACCAACTATTTTTTAACAAATAACACATATCAAACAAACAACTATCAAACTGTGTTCACAAAAATTTTCAGATAATTCGTCATTGCAGAAATATGATTTATTTTTCAAAAATTTGATCCTTTTTACTTTATCGGCAAAATTCACTATTTTCTCAATTTTGAAGAGGATTTACGGAATAGTAGTTATATTATTTTCAATGAATGTAGTTGAATTATTAGGTTGAACAACAAAATTGAAACTTATATTCTAAATATATGTTTTCTAATGCAATAAACAAAAATCTTTAGGCAGTTCTGTTCAATTTATTATAATCATACTCTATGTTATTCTGAAATACAATTATTACAAATAAGTTAAATATTTTTTACAAGCACTCCATACAACCTTCTTATGAAACTTTGTGAAAAGATTTCATCATCAGAGTTGGAATAACTATTAATTTAATTTATTTATGATAGAATCGACTTTTTAAACTTATTTTACTTTTTTATTTACTATTTCATTATTGTTTACACCTTGCTATTGTAAAGTTTCAGGTGATTCTTTTTACCCTAAGCATATGTCAGCTGTTTGGGAAGTTGTGTAAAAATCTGTTGAATCTATCCTAAAAATAAAAATACACATTATAAAACAATTTTTTTTTTTTTTAATTTCAATAATTATTACAACTGCTAATTTATTAACATCAAGTAATATTGATAAATAATAATATAAATTTAAATAAATAAAAGAGCAAAGGATAAAATTTACATAAAAATAATATCCGTAATATGATTTAATGTAAAATATAAGCAAATAATAATAAAAATAAGATTAATAAATAATATAAATAAAATTTCAAAATAATAAAATAATACTAGAAAAATAATAAAATATAACAAAATAACAATAATAGAAATAGTAAGATAATATTAATAATAATAATAATAATAAAAATAATAATAGTAATAATAATAATAATAACAACAATAATAATAATAATAATAACAATAATAATAACAATAATAATAATAATAATAATAATAATAATAATAATTTACAAATTTATAAGATCGTTTGGAATTTTTCGTTTTAGTCTTGTTGGGCGCGCTTCTGAGTATACTTTGTTGGCCAAGTAATTTGGGTGCTCGTCTATTCTTTTTTTGTAGTTGTTTGTTTTTTGTTGAATTTCTTCATTTACTGTCATTATGTTGCTGTCCTGGTGAATCAGCCAGTTGGGAACGTACCTAGGTGCATTCAGTGCCTGCCTTATGATCTTGTTCTGCACTCGCTGAATAATCTGTAGATTGGTTTTTTTGGCGGTGCCCCATAGTTGAATCCCATAAGACCACACTGGTTTAAAAATACATTTATAAATAATTAACTTGTTATTCGTCGATAGTTCGGAACGTTTATTTAGTAGCCAGTAATGTTTTTTGAATAGTTCATCAATCTGCTGTTTTTTCTTGTTAATGTGAACTCTCCAGTTCAATTTTGTGTCTAGGTGTATTCCGAGATATTTTACGCTATCTTTTACTGGGATTATAAAACAAATAAATAACTAATATTATATTAGTAATATTAAGGTGGCCATACGTCCCCGATTAGCCAGGATAGTCCAAGGATTTCAGCCTTGTGTCCCAGGTTTTTCTAAAATCAATATTTGTCCAGAAATTAGATCTATAGTCGTGGATTGTCTCGGGTTTTCGAAAAGTATAGGTTTGAATTGAATATTAGCAATTACCTATAACTACTCATCAAATATCTGTATATGTTATATACAACGAATGTGCTTATATGAAACAAAATGTTATGATTGAGACAATTTCCGAAAACAAAATTCCAAAAGGCTGGGTAAAAATGTTGAAATAGCTTCTCATATTAATAATTTCGAACTTTTGTCTTCAATTTTACAAAAATTAACATAAAAGTTAAAAACGAACTTTTTGATTGGCAGCCATAAATGGTAATTTTTTCAAGATAATTATGAAGAAAATTGAACAGAAATTTATACAAAGTTTAAAAGCAAAAAAAACATAGATTCCAAAATAAAAGATGTAATATAACATATAATCGAAAATAGTATTTGTTATTTAAAAATCATATTTGAATTATTTACCATACCATCCCCTCCAGTCCCGAAATAGCATAACTAAAAATTATCGTCCTGGTTTTGACTTAAAAAAATATGGTCACCTTAGTAATATACATAAAAAATATACTCAGACATTGTAAACAACAGTGCTCAAAAAACTAACAACGAAAAAAAAACTTTCGTAAAAAAATTGCCAACTTGGCCGTTTGATAGCGATGTCGTCCGTTTTAAGACGATGGCTGGTTACACGCATCTTTTGCTCTCTACTTTAAAATATTACCGTTGAAAAATATCATACTTTACTTGGTTGTGAGATAATGATGGTGGACCTTTATACTCTATTATATATAAAATTGCATATAAAACTAATTTTATCTTTTATTTCAGTTTGCGGTATGCCTTGGCATAATTTTCGTCGTTGAATTAGCTGCTGGAATTGCTGGATGCACCATGAAGGGTGATTTTCAGGAGTCGATGCGTAAATCACTTCAAACGTCCATGGGACGTTATACTGAGAGCAAGGACGACGCTATTGCTTGGGATAATGTTCAAACAAAAGTAAGATTTTTATAGATTTACCCTTACACATAGTAGTAGTATCCAACTATCCTTACATTAATCTTTTTAAAACTTTTTTAAATAATTTTGAATATGCAGACTTAATTACCTGTAATCAGGATTTCAAGTTATAGATGCATTATGATTGTTTATTTAATATTTAAAAAAAAACATTGTATGTAACATGTATATTTTCCGACAAATGCGTTCTAACAACCATTTTGGCATCGATTCGAACGTGTTTGTTTTATCTTGAATGTTATATCAAACAAAATACGTAAATCTGAAATTGCATGCCTCACTGATTGCGTGTCATAATCATAATTTGTGATGCATAAAAAATTTATTACACTTGTTTAGTACATGCATGTGTTATAAGCAAGTTTGGCAGTTTTTCAATGAATAATCGATAAATCTATTTTCAAAAATTATTATTTGAATGAATGATGTAAAGGTAAAACTGAAAGCTTGAAAGTGAATGATATTAATTTATGCCGATTATTTCAAATGATATGAATAACAGAAATGATACGTTTGTTGATAATCTTTTCAATGTTAATTTTCAACATAAATATCTTATCACAATATCAAATAGTTATTATATTGTAATAATACGATTTCTTATTCCGCATATTTGTTGTTTTAATATATTTTCAATTTTGAACAATATTTTGAAAAATATCTAGAAAAGTTTTAATTTATGTGTATGTATCAAACACTCAATTTTAGTCTTAAAATCACCATTTCCTAAAAATGTCTTTTAAATCGAATCTATCTGAAACCATACAAATCTCTAAAATATGATAGATGGCAACATGTACATATATACCGATGATATTTTTAAGGTAGAGCAGGGCGGGGTACAAAGGTCCAATTAGATTTTAAGTAATTATACTGCCTAAACTAAATGAACTATATCACAACACATAAAAATTATCAAGCAAACAACTGCCGTACTAGATTCAGTAAAATTCTCAGTTAATTCCTAAGTATATAAATGTATTTTTTTTACTATTTTTCTAAAATTTGTCACCTGTCCTTTTTTACCCCATAGCTAAGTGGCAAATAGATCCAATATTCTATTTCTATTTTTAAAGAAATTTTACGCAACAATAGCTACAACATTCAACCAGTGCAAGATATGAATTTTATGGGTACATTTTTGACAAAGATCACATTGTATATAACCTTGATCTGATATTTAGTCAAAAATATTCATCAGCAGAGTTGAAACAACTATTAGTTTAATTTATTTCTTGTAAAATTGTTTTGTTTAACTGAATTAACATTTTTATTTACTATATTTTATTGTTTACATTTTTGCCAGGGTAAAGTTCTGTTGGTCCTTTTTACCCCACCCACATGTAAAATAGAGTTAGGAGGTTATATATAAACATCTGTTGAATCTAACCTAAAATTAGCAATACATCACATAAAATAAATAAATAACGTATACTTAAAATTTTATTAATCGTGAATTAAACAACAATGCTTACAACCAAAACAAATAACAACGAAAGAAAATACCTTTATTATAGATTTTTAAATAAATATTGCCATCTCCTGATTGCTTGGTTTAAAGCGATGGCTGATTACAAATATTTTTCCCTCTACTTTCAAATATTGTTGTTAAAAAAGTCCTCACATTACTTGTTTTTGAGATATTGGTGGTGGACCTTCTTACCCGCGGACCTTTAAACCCTATGCCAAACGTAATGGTTTCAATTTCAATTTGTTAACTACCCGTAGGGCAAGTTATAGTAATCGCAAAAAAATCAAAAATGAAAATTTTTTATTTCAAAGGTTTTTGCATATTTTACATACTTTAGAAAAAATGGATATATGTGTGTGTGTATGTGGTTTGTGTGTGTGTGCGGATACAAATTTTCGTCGACGATTTCGGGAACACCGTTCAACCGATTTGAATAATTAAAAAAATATTCGATTCGTATTGAAAACGAGACGTGTTGATTAGTTTTTGGCGAAGGCAGGTCTAGCCGTTCCGAAGATACGGGGCAAAAAGTGCCAAAAATGGTAACTCAGTTTTAAGAGAACGGAGGGTCCGATTTTAATAATTGAAAAAGCATTTTACTTGTATATTGACAAGATGAAGAGTTGATCAAATTCTCATGAAGGCAGGTCTAGCGGTTTCGGAGATCTAATGACAAAAGTAAAAAAAATGCCATTTGGCGGTTAAAAATGATCATTAAGCATATGCACATCAAATTATCAGATATTTTATAGAGATTTTAACAATAAGTATAAATTTTGTTTACATTCCTATGGGTTCCGTACTAATGTTTATCCGTTAGACGGCGACGCGGCGTTTACGCGCTTTGACATTTTGTCTCTATGCAGTTAAAGCAGTACGATTGCTTTGAAAAAAAAAAGTTCAGAATTTCCAAAATATGTCAAAATAAAGAAAACATTTTTTTTCAAAAAAAAAAAAAAATTTTTTTTAAAAAAGTAATTTTTTGTCAAATTTATAGTTTCTCAAAAGTCTAATTTTTTCGAAGTAAATTTTTGTCAAAAATGTTAATCGTTTTTTAAAAAAAAGAAAATTGGTACGGGAAGTTCCAGCAATTTGCTTTAAGACACGATGCCATGCGCTTCACTAGTTTATAATTTCAATAAGCTACCCTATATAAAAGTGCAAAAAATACTCTCATAAACTATCACTCATCGATTCCTTACACCTTACTTTTTTCTTTCCAGTTGATGTGCTGCGGCATTGACGGACCCCGCGATTGGGTCGACTTGAGCGCAAACCGTCAGATGCCTCAAAGCTGCTGCAAGAACATGACCGCGTCCGGCCAGCCATTCACCGGCGAATGTTACCGCTTTTATCCCTCTCAGCCTGACCAGTACTACGGCCGCGGTTGCTTGACTGCCCTCAAGGAGCGCGTGGAAAGCGGCGCTGGAGTCATGATCGGCGTAGGCATCGGCATTGCTTTTATTCAAATCGCTGGAATTGTTTTAGCTTGCTGGCTGGCAGCGGTTATACGCCGCGAGAAGGGCGACAAGTAAAACGGTTAGATTGCGTTTAGTGTGAGGATATCGAATTTATGTCATGGTATGATTTTTTACTTATCACTTATATGGTTTTACTACAGATTTTTATTATTCAAATATTATGTTATTTTAGTGACTTCTCAATATTATGAACCTAGCTTAATATCATTTGTTTATTATCATACAAGGTATACACTTTCATGTAGACTAATATTAGTGAAGATTTTTTAAATATAAATATAATTCTCAGTTTCGTAAATAATGATGAATTAAATAAGTCACATTAAAATTTGCAATTTATTTACCATAAAATTCAAGTCGTGTAATTGAAAATAGAGTATATTTAAAAAGGTTTTTACTTACTTACAATCTAAGCAATGTGAGCAGCGTTATATATATATATATATATATATATATATATATATATATATATTGAATGGTAGAATCTTGGATTTGTGTATATATATATATATATATATATATGATATTGATATGATATTGATATATATATATATATATATATATATATATATATATATATATATATATATATATACTGACTAATTTCATAATATGGGAATTGTAAGTAATTAAAATTTACAGTGAGTCAAGTTATTTTTTTCGCTCATATTAAAACCATATATCAATAAACAAGAAAATTTTAGCACAAATTAAAAACAATATTTTTTGTGCATAAAGTAGTTCTGATACAGATTTGAAATATCTAAATTTTCAATATATTCGGCATTAATTGATTACACAGGTCCACAAACAAAAGTTGTCTATATTGGGTGTGCGGCTTATGTTTTTCAATGTAGTTTTTACCGTTGATCACGAATGTAAAGTCAAAACTGGGGTTAGATGGCAAAAAAACGAAAAACATGTACGATCTAGTAATTCTTCTGCGTGATAATTAATATCTTATAATTTCTCTCGTTTCCTGTCCTTTTTTACCTAAAATGACTATTGAGTTTCACTTTGATCAATTGAATTTTTTATATATTTTAGCAGTAATGTGAATATTTGCATAGTGTTTGCAAAATACTGCTGTATTCTACACAAAAAAGCATAATATTAATGTAAGTTATACTCAATATAGTCATAGTCATTTAGGAAAAAAATGGTCAGAAACGACAGAAATTGTAAGATTTTATTTATTATGCAGAAGAATTACTAGATCGGAGATTTTGTCGTTTTTTTTACTTTTTTCGATTTTTTGCGATTTGACCCACAATCTTGAGTTTAGATTTATGTTCAGCGGTAAATACTACATTGTAAAACATATGCCTTTTTGTGGACCTCTATTATTATCATTTAACACAAATCTCACGCGTGGAAATAAGTTTTTGTGTACAGTTGGACATAAGGGTGGTACGCCGGGTGGCGTACATATATGTGATTGAAGTTACCATAGCATATTACTCTATATTATTTAAATCATTGATATTAGTGCTTAAAATGTTAAGTGATACTTTTATGCTAATTCTGAATTAATTGCTTCGAACTTTCGGTTCTAAGCAAAAGTATTATTTAAAACTATTCCTTTACATTACAGCGCTACGATGAAAATTTAATGAATAATGATAAATACCAATTGATTTTTATTTCTTCGTGCTGCATGAATGCGTGTGTGTATGAAAAAATATGTTATAAATAAATTTGTCTAAATTATACTCTAAATATGTAATGTTAAGATAGAACAGCAAACAGATTTTTCCAGAAACTATATTAATATTAATTTTACCATTACCTAGTCGGATTTACAAAGGCTTCCACAATCAGGATATGATTTAAAACTGTTCGTAATGTTTATATTCTATTATTAAATTACACACCAATATCAATTTGTAAATAAACATATTTAACTCACTTAACCAACAGAATTGAATAATAACATAGTACGTAAGATATAAATGTTAATTATAATAAATTCGAATAAGTATATAAATATGTATCGCTACATACAAAACTAAGCATTCAATTGTGCATTTCAAGTATTTGTTCAAATTTATATATCATAGATATACGTGTGTTATTAGAATATAGTTATATTATAAAAAATACTATAGTGTGCTGTTACTATTTTCAAAATATATATTATAATATTGACGTAAAAATAAATGGATCAAAACTCTTATAAGGGAAGTAAGTGAAAGAGCTATAAGGACGAAATGAACTTAATTGATATAAATAACTAAAAAACAACTTTTTAGTCTTACCTTGTTTTAAATATTTAACACAAGACCCATAGAGGCTAAAAACAAGCAAAAATAAAATAAAAATGCGAAAATTTTAAAAACACTTTAGAAAAGAACTGCAAAACGTATATTGCATTTAGATTTATTAGCCGTTTGAACTTTTTCATAGAGTAGCATGATTACCTCTCGTGAAAAAAATGTTTTAACAATAAAATGTTTAAGATATTTTAGATACGACGTTTGTGTGGCCATCTCAAATTTGTAAATAATGAAGAATTATTATACAAACTTTGGATAAAATTAGAACTGATTTTTCAAAATATAGCTCTTTCATGACTTTTTTCCCTTACATTACAATTTTATGGTACATTGGTTCTTCACCTGTTATCTAAATACTAGTAAATGAAAGTGTTTTAAAACAATAATCATACTGTTTTACTTGACTAAATATTTGGTGAGTCAAGTACTTTTAATGTAATATTATTAGTGATTAATTATTTTTTTGCAAATAGTTAATATTTGTGTCTAGCGACGTCGTATACCACTAAAATATTCAGAGACCTATGCGCAATAGTGAAATTATTCAAATTCTTTATATATTTGGTGTGCGGATCACAGATTAAGAACCTATGTTAAAGTAACTTTGACTTAAATCAATAAAAATATTTGCAAACAGTGTTAGTGTGCTTTTTAAATCGAGAGTAAGTAATCCTGTATCTCCGCGTTGGATTATAAATTACATAATTAAAATGTAGAACTTAAAAAGTTAATTACTAAGCCAATCGCATGGTGCAATTATTAATTCTGATCATCTAATTGAATAATAATTTATTAATCTCACATACATCAAAAGTGTTTCTTAGAATCCTATTTACTTACTTCGAGAAATATCGCGAATGTATATATCAAATGAAGTAAATAAAACAAGTCTGCATTATTGATTACGTGTTCCAAAGTCCATATTTTATATATTTTGTTGAAAAACATAGAATTTCTATTATTTCGGTTCTTAGGCCTTTTCACGCACGGAGTAAGGGTCCAAAATCAAACACCTAATTGCCTTTAAACTGTTATATATAAACTGTCAATATATGTCTTTATGTCACAAAAACTATAAAATAATATTTAGTATATATGAAATTTTAATTAAAATCATTTTTATATTTTATAGTGTATTTACTTACTGAAATACGTCGAAGCATACACTATCAACATACTTTTGTTTCAATTACTTTGATTCAAGATATAGTTTGTTTGTAGAAAATATATTACATATTTAATACATGTATTTGTTTATGTGATATTATTTATGCTACATATTTTATAAATATATTTTTATCATGGTATATATAGTAAACGATACGTTGTTCTTGTTTATGTGAATATTCAAATAATATGTGTTATTTTCATTATAATAGAATTTGAGCTGTCGTCATCGGTAGCACAAAATAATCTAAATTGTTAAAGCACTGATATTTGCTTATATTTAAAAAATTGGTGCACTATGTCTCTATTAGGTAACCACAATCTACATAGATCAGTTATAATAAATACTTGTCATAAAGAAGTGCACAGTGTTAATTTCTTTTTATAAATGTATGCATTATGTATTAATGTAAATAAAGTTTTAAGTTCTTACAATTTTTCTTAATATACTTATATTTTAATTAAATCCTATTTTTTCAACGTGCATTGAAATTTTATATACATACATGAAAAATTGACTAAATTGAAATTTGGAAATAATCATGAGTTGGAGACACTGAATTCGAGACAAATATTGCTTGTAAAAAATCAGAGACGCAAGGGAAACCCGGGATTATCCCGGCCAATACTGAACGAGGCCAACTTACTAGTAAAAATAAAGCTTTAAATTATGTGTAAAATTTGATAAGAACGCAGAGAGTAAAGACAACATGCCCAGGAGTACATTTTTATGGCCAAGCAATTCCAAGCACCGAATGCGTCAAATACTTAGGTATGCATTTAGATCGCAGGCTCACGTGGAAGGACCATATTCGTGCCAAATTAAATACTATAAAAATTAGAACCGCTGAAGTATACTGGCTACTGGGACGCAAGTCAATTTTATCCATTGTCAATAAACTTCTAATTTACAAGGCAGTAATAAAACCCATATGGACTTATGGCATTGAATTGTGGAGCTGTGCAAGCAAATCCAACATAGCGTTAATGCAACGTGCCCAATCGAAAATTTTGAGGCAGATTACTGATGCTCCGTGGTTTGTTAGTAATAAAACTATACACGACGATCTTCATATTGATTTTATAAACAGAATAATACAAATCAACAGTATAAAACACTTTCAAAAACTACAACATCATTCAAACCGTATAGTCACTCAGCTTCTTGAGACATCAACTTCAAGAAGACTGAAGAAGAAGCTGCCCGAAGATAATATGGAGGAACCTTAGAACTACCACAACCTTATATGAACAGAATAGTAGAATCACTAAGTGATTCAATAAGTCTTATTGAAGTGATTCTCTAAATATGATTGTAATATTGATCCGATAAATTTATATGTGTGTTTGAAAGTGTGTTTGTGTATGTGTGTGAGTGAATGACATAAGCCAAATAGCTCATAGAATAGTCATGTATTCTGATTGCTATTGAAAATAAAAAATTAAAAAAAATATTGGAAAATTAATTTTTTTGACAAAAGATGCGCAATAAATTATATAAAAATGTGCCTGTGGCCTCGGATATCGTTCATCAAATGCGATATTTTATTAAAATGGTAAAGAGTTTGATTTAGCCCTGGCTGAATGGTAAGACGTTTGGTTTTGAAACAACAGGGTTCTAGGTTCTATTCCCGTCTTGGACTGCATGATTTGAAATTGAATTTAAATGTAATGTAGTTAATATTCTGATTGTTATTAATAAATGAAATAAAAAAATCAGATGTATTTGAACATTTACTTGAAAATATAGAATTAAATACGATTTCAAGTGAAAATGAATTTACCATTATAGAAATATCTATAAAAATCTTATCACAAAGAAAATGTATTAACACTAACTTGTTTTGTAATAATATAAATGTTAAGAAATTCATATAATAGGTCAAACTAAAAATAACACATAATAATAGTTCCAATTGTCATAATATTTCTAATTCTAATATAAACGAATAACATAATCCTATAAACATGTCTTCAGATCAAATATATCAGAGCAATCTACCGTTCAAACTCCGCGCCATTTTCTAATACTCTCCGATGATTCAAACCTTCGCATTTTTGTATGTTGGCTTATCTGTCTGACTTGTGTTTACACCTTCATACGGCTGTCAAACCATAAGGTAACCTCACTTTATGAGCCGTTAAAATAGTTCAGTATTGTGCATGATAATTGTGTAATTTATTGTTAAATAAATGTTTAATGTAAGGGTGGCGTTTCCTAGTGTTTTATTATTAATTCGGAGCGAACAACAGTTATAATTTGGGCCTGTAGAAAGTTAACGTCGACTTTTAAAAAGTAAGTAAGTTTTTAGTTTTAGTTTGACTTATTCTAGCTTTATACATAATATTAATAATAAATATTTTGGCGGCGTATGTCTTTCATGATTTTGACAATGGCACCTTGGATTAATCAGTGTGTTATACAACATTAAGCGGTATCATATAGTTAGTATGTAATTGAGATAATGTGTGCATATCAATCAAGTATGTAGAAACTTAAACATCTATTCCTATTGCAATCGCTTTGAAGATCACATTGACTGACAATTTTGTTATTCATCTTTATTTGAATCTCCGAAAAGTTTGTACAGAACCTAATTTCTATGCTTTATGAACTATTTTATACTATTGGAAATATCATCCCGATATAAATATAAATGACTGTTGGATCTCCTAGGTGAAAGATCAAAATTTTTATCATGAAATTGAGGTGGAGGTAACATGCGCCTTTGGTGTTTTTAATGCAAATTTAGAAGCATTACATTTTTAACTTCCCGAAGGAGAAGTTTATGTTTTCATCAATAAATCCGAGTCGCTAATTTTATGTTTTGTCGGCGTTTCAAACTATTCTGAATCGAATGAGACCAAGTTTGGAAAAAATATGTGTGTGTGTGCGTGTATGTGAACAGATTTTTTGCTGGTAAATCGACGTTTTCTCAAAAACGACTGGACCGATTTCAAAAATATAAAAGCCATTCGTTGTATCCCGATGAGGACTATCGTTTGTCAGTTTTGTACGACGATCTTCCAAGCCGTTCCTTTGTAATTTGGAAAAAAGTGTTAAACTTTTCGTCCACATTTAAGTTCATACAACGAATCGATTTAAAAAAATCAAAAACTGTTCGAAAGATATTAGTTGGGAATAGGGAAAGTAATCCCAATTTTTCGGCGGTATTAATACCAGTATCTTCAGTATTTTTACATAAGCACTAGTTTATACATAATGCACTCAAGTTCAAATTTCTCGTAACCAATTTATCTTTGATTTCCACAATCACTTGAGATATATCTTTAGGTGATTCCATTGAATTAACATGTCAAATAATGTCAACATATTATCTATAGAAATACTTAGAATGAATGTAATGAATGGCTTTATTGTATATAAATAAAACACATGCATGAAACCATTAAGTGATTTATATTAAATAATACAAACATATTCTTTGAATATTGAGAAAAGAGTTCTACATGTCTTCGTTTATAATCTCGAAAGTCGATAAAGATTAAATTATTATATATACAATACGAATTCATTTCTTCATATAAACTCACATGGAAGATAAACCACGAACAACACTTTCGTTCGGCGGCAGCGCCGCCTTTGATTTTAACTATTATTATTCGGTATTCGGCCGAAAAGTAAGTTCCTATGCATTTGGTATTCGGCTAAATATCAAAAAAGGTGACGAGTAGTAACCGCATAACAATTTTAAAGTGACATCTGCGCCAAAATATTTTATATCATGAATACTCACAATCAACAAAATAACTAGTGGGGCGCAGGGCATCGTGCCTTAAGGCAAATTGCTGGAACTCCCCTTACCAAAAATTATTTTTTTTTAAAAAGATTAACATTTTTGAAAAAAAATTACTCTGAAAAATTAGATTTTTGAAAAACTATAAATTTTTGACAAAAATTTACTTTTTTTTTGAAAAAGACTTTTTGAAGAAAAGTGTATTTTGAAATATTTTGGAAATTATGCTTTAACTGCATAGAGACGAAATATTGAAGCGCGTAAGCGCCGCGTCGCCGTCTAACGGATGAACATTGGTACGGAACCCATAGGAATGTAAACAAAATCTATATTTATTGTTTAAATCTCTATAAAATATCTGATAATTTTATGTGCATATGTCTAATGATCATTTTTGACCGCCAAATGGCACTTTTTTTTACTTTTTACATTAGATCTCCGAAACCGCTGGGCCTGCCTTTATGAAAATTTGATCAATTGTTTATCTTGTCAGTATAAGTAAAATGTGTTTTGAATTATTAAAATCGGACGCTCCGTTCTCTTAAAAACTGAGTTACCATTTTTGGCACTTTTTGCACCGTATTTTCGGAACGGCTAGGCCTGCCTTTGCCAAAAACTAATCAGCACGTCTCCTTATCAATACGAATCGAATGTTTTTTGAATTATTCAAATCGGTTGATCGGTGTTCCCGAAATCGTCGACGAAAATTTGTGTCCGAACACACATACACACGCATACACATACACACACACATACACACACACACATACACACACACACATACACACACACATACATCCATTTTTACTAAGGTATGCCAAAATATTCAGAAACCTCTGGAACGTAAAGATATAAAAAAATTTTCATTTTCGATTTTTTTGCGATTACTATAACTTACCCTACGGGAAGTTAAAAAAAGAAAAAAAATCTTCAACATCACATTTTTAACCGAGATATATGTATAATAATTTTATTTTCCATGTTGATTAGAGTGCTAATTAGTTATTTTAATGGCTAGTAAGATGTGCTTTAAAAATATTTTTTGTATGGAACTTGTATTATGCACGAGATCGATTTACATTAATTTTTTTTTTTTTATAAATAATATATTAAATTTACATGAGAAGCGTGTAGTTGTTAATTTTCATATTTACTATTTATTTAACTTTATATAATAAATTCTGTAAATTATTATTTTAAATCTAGTGTTATTTTGGTTGAAGAATATTCAGGCGCTATCTTGTCACTCTTTCAACTTACCTTCGGAGAAGTTTTATTTCACAATAAAATCCGATTTCTCAACTTTGTTCTCTAGACGTTTCAAGTTATTCTGAATCGTTTGACTCAAAATTTGTAAAAAGTATGTGTGGGTGCTAACTTTTTTGTCAACGTTTTCTTAAAAAGTCTCAAATTTTTTATGAAACTTTGTACGATGATAGTCACAGTGTGAACTAGCATAGTAGAATATTATAGACTTTTGGAAAGTTGTTGATTGAAAAATGTTTTGAATAATGTGCCGCGTACTTTGTAACTGCTTATGGACTTCGATGTTCAATTTTTTTTATTTGAACAGCGATCAGAACTAGAGGATTCTGCAAGCTTTATCATAGATGGATATCGAACCTGAGATCTCTGATTCAGGTCCAGTCGTTTTACCTAGAAGCCAATTCAAATCGTTAAATAATGAGTTAAATAAATTAATTTAATTCTTACAGTTACATATTAGTTTGTTTGTCTTTGGAATATTAATGGAATATCGCATTGATTAGTTTTTTAGTGAAAACAAAATCTGTATTTTCGAAATAAGTATTTGAAAACATTATCTAAATAGCTTGATCTCAATTCTCTCAAATCTTATTGATTAAGTCGATTATTACACGTCTCGGGAAATTCATGCAACTTACCTTCATGCTAAATGGCACTTACAACATCAATTACATTTTTGTCATTCAAAATATACTGTTTTTAAATGCACTTCTATTACGATATAAATTCTTTATTAGTTTTTTAATGGTAAATAAGTGCATGGCATCGTGCCTTAAGGCAAATTGCTGGAACTTCCCGTACCAATTTTTTTTTTTTTTAAAAAGATTAACATTTTTGAAGAAAATTTACTCTAAAAAAAATAGATTTTTGAGAAACTATAAATTTTTGACAAAAATTTACTTTTCTCGAAAGAAAGACTTATTGTACAAAAATTTATTTTGAAATATTTTGGAAATTCTGAACTTTTTTCAAAGCAATCGTACTGCTTTAACTGCATAGAGACTGCAGTTCTAATGTAAACAAAATTTATACTTATTGTTAAATTCTCTATAAAATATCTGATAATTTGATGTGCATATGTCTAATGATCATTTTTGACCGCCAAATGGCATTTTTTTACTTTTTTTTACTGGATCTCCGAAACCGCTAGACCTGCCTTCATGAAAATTTGATCAGCTTTTATTCAAATCGGACGCTCCGTTCTCTTAAAAACTGAGTTACTGTTTTTGGCACTTTTTGCCCCATATCTTCGGAACGGCTGGACCTGCCTTCGCCAAAAACTAATAAGCACGTCTCCTTATCAATACGAATCGAATGTTTTTTGAATTATTTAAATCGCTTCATCCGTGTTCCCGGACGAAAATTTGTCACACACACACACACACACATACATCCATTTTTTCTAAGGTATGCCAAAATGCTCAGAAGGTTTTGAAACGTAAAGATATATAAAAGTTTTCATTTTCGATTTTTTTGCGATTACTGTAACTTGCCCTACGGAAAGTTAAAAAATTTCAGGTCTGATATAAGAAGCAAATATTTTGCAAACGATTTTCCATACTTGGGCAAGGATGTAATCCGAGGATTAACCATTTTTTTGGGTGAAATTTTAGTAGCTAAGCTTGCAGATCTTCCACATTGTCGCCGTAGTTCTGAATTGTTTGATTGTCAACATCATATTTAAATTGCTTGCTTACAACTGTTTTTCTCCAAAAACTTCCATCTTCTTGCATGAGTCAAATTGGCTCACTTCAGTAAATATAGATATATGACCAACATTCGTAAATCTAGATTTAAATGGCCCTGTATAAATCAACGGTCATAATTTCTCATTCTTTATTAAATGTTGCAATATATTTTAGATATATTACACTATTTCCATCTTTGTTCTGGCATTAAAAGACAAAAAACAACACTTTTTATTAGTGATAAATGCAGAAATAATGTTCATATCTCGATCAAACTTATTTCGGGTTTGTGTTGTTTCTTGATGTTTCAGCCATGTCATTTGGGATTTTTTAAACAATATACTAACGGTTAGTTAGTACTAATCTTTTACATCGTATTCTATCACTTTCAATTTAATTCCATGATTTTCCAATGTATTAATTTTTATACACTTTTGTTAATATTCTGGCATCTTATTCTTCTGTATTGCGAGAACATCTTTCAAATATATACACGTTTTTACATGTTCAAACATATGAACATATGAACTTTATTTGTATACAGTACTACCGAGATTTGATCCCAGTACCTCTTTATTGTCGGC